ACTCTTTCAATAATGTATTAGTTGTAAAAAATAGTCTATATCTCTAATATAGTTAAGTTTATACTTGATTCCGTTGAATATGAGTTTGAACTTGAAACTTTTCATGAACTTGAATGTATTTAGACAAGATAAATTTTGATTATAAAATTTAAGTTAAGCATGAAATCAAAATAGATTTTGAACTTCTTATAAAAAATTAAATATATCATAAAACTAAACTTAAAATTTAATTTGAGCAAGAAATTATAATCTGAAGTTGAAAGTAAATTTGATTTTGAGATCAATTTAAAATTTAAGCAAAAAAGAAACTTTCTACAACTAACTTCCAACTTATAATTATATCTTAACTAAAATTAGAATATGAATTCAATCTTGAATGTGCATCAAAACTCCTAATACATAAAGAATATATTCTTTATTTTGAATTTGAACTTCAAACAAAAACTTTTGAAGGTAATTGAAACTTTATCCAATGTAATTTGTTCCTTTTTATTGTATAAAATTTGATTGTTTTTAGATATTGAAATTAATCATAATTTTTCTTGCACTACTTTAGAGTATGAAAACTGTTTCTTATCATTTGGGATGAAAGAAACTTTTTAATGTTTTTATAAAAAAGATAATCATTTATTGCTAAAGTAAGAGATTGTTACCTATGAATTATCATTTTTGTATGATTTATTATGCATCTCTATATATATGGTATTTATAATCGTAAATAATATCCCATTCTATATTAGTATAGTCAATGGTTATAAGATCAAGAATTTTTCTAAGCTTTGAAGCATTTTGCTTGTAAAGCTTTCTCATGTTCTCCACATCCCTCTCGACAGTTAGATTTTCTTAAAGGAGTTTGGATACTTAATAGTTTAAGTAAAGAATTAGTAGAACACGATCTCTATATTCTAAAGCACTATCATTTTTTATTATTTTTAGCATTTGAGTGAGCTTCGGTATTAAGAAAGCATGGATGTGTGCTCCTAATTTTATATATCATGATTGAAGCTTTTTTATTTACAATGAAAATGTGCCTAATGCTTTGTGACCCTCTATAGCAAGGCCAATGAATATTGGCTTACCAAATTTGACATGGTGGCAAGTAGGAGCTTGATGCTAGTTGGCCTAATGCCTAAAAAATCATTATTTAAATCATATCAATTATGCACAATCATTTACCATAAAACTTATTGATAATAGACCCAATGCTAACATAGACTCTGCACAATGGAAACTTAAGGAGATTTTCTTGTATACCTTGGAGCTAATTTAAACTAATTTTTTGGAAGAGGGTTTTATTTTGGCTAAAATGATCCTTGATGGATCTTGATGACCCTTTTGGTAAAAAAGGGTTAATTGAGCCCTTAGGAAAGTTTAAATGGGTTCAAATTTTATTTTATGGTCATTAGTTTCATTTCAGATAAAATATAGTGAATTTAAACTAAGTTGAATGAGATTTGATTGATTGGACTCTTAACGGATAACTTTATTAAACTAAGTTGACTAAAGGCTTAAGGGCCTTAATTTTAATTAATATTGGTCCATAGCGACCTTTAAATAGATTGGAGCCGTTAGGATATTTGGTTTTGATGTGCCTCATAGGAACACCAAAGGATGACTTAGTCAAGTATGTTTAATCAAGCCAATAAAATTCAAATGTAGAGCCTTGGTAGGGTCTATAATCATTAGGAAGAATCTTATGATGTTAGATTCAATTTTGGGATCTGTAGGTTCAAGCATTTTTAAGGTGCCTAAGGGTTGAACTTTCCTTAATTGAGTTTGAATTGCATTGAAAATTTACTAGCGTCAAAGTGAGCTTATTATTGGACTAATATCTATATTAAATTAGTTGGTGTTCAATTTGAGCTCATTTGAGACTAAGAGAAGAAATATTTGATTTGGAGTAGCCATTCGTTGAGGTTTACTAAGGAGTCCTAACTCTATGAGTGAAGATCGTTAAAAGAGGGATCAATATCTCTATCAATATATATACATTAATGATCGCATTATATATTTCCTTACATTGATATTCTCACATGCATTTTCGTTATATTAATTATAATGCAAGATTGTAAGATCCATTATTTCTTTTTTATTATTCAAGCTAGCTTACATTAAATAAATAATTGACATCATGAATTTAATTTATTTTGGTGGAGTTTAAATAATAACATATCTTATCTATTGGGTATAATTTCTACCTTTAGCTTTTATGATATGCATTCAATGATGAAGCATTATGATGGTTTTCATCTAGCACTAGATCTCTTCTGTAAATTGTGACAT